ATGATTATTCACTCCTGTTATGCCAAAAGTATGTATTTATGATTTGGCTACTAGTGAAGAAAGTACTGCTAAGTATGAAATTTTGGCCCTAATTATCTCCTAATATATCCTGACCACAGCGCGGGAAAATGTGCGGGCTACGTAACTTCCGTTACCTTATTAGTCGCCATGAATATGTAGATGAGCTAGTTCAGCTCGAGAGAGAAAGTTTATTTGGGAAACTGCCGGTCATATCGCTGTCCATTGACAGATGGGGGCAGAGACCATATAATAGATGGGGGTAAGGCAATAATAAAAAAATAAAAGATACCAGAAGTAAGTATCAATGCGATAATGACCCCTAACTTGCAGCAGACGGAACATTCCGAGGAAATTGAAATTGTTTACGGAGCGAGCACTTCCTGGTTACTGATTGTCATAACAGACATCCGCTAAAAGGCGTGTCCCGCGTGAGCGACCGGAAATCACAAATGCCGCGATACGATGAATGCCGCGGTACCACGAGGTCAGAGTATACACGGAATATGCCAGAAATAACATGAAAAATGGCGATAATTGGTCGCTAGCTTCGACGTGTACACTTTCAAGTGTATCCAGTCCAGAATGACATGTTGACATGTTTTAACTGTTCGAAAATAGGGTATGTGAAAATAGGAAGGCGGATGCCCCGATGCACACGCGACCCGCCAGTCACGACCTTAGGTGGATTGTTGTGGTCCCTCTCGGCAGTGGGTGATTTTACATAGCGCTTTAATTACTTTCGCGGAGGTCGCGGGTGACAGCACAGCCACGGTGATTGAATTAATTAGTATCAAGCGCTTCACTGAGTACTGCGGACCGCACCGTCTCGCGTACAAGAGACGGCTGAGCCGTCACGCGTACACGTTACGTCTGTGACTGTTCACAATACAAAAGAACAACATTTTTTTATCAGGGTTTTTTATTTATCAAATATGTTCATGTTTAGTAGACTGTCACACTTATCATGCAGTGAGTACATTGTTATACTGTAATCACTGTAATAAGTGTCCTGGGTATTTCACCAAGTCAGATGCCAAAGGAGAAACTTTTTTGGATTTTGGAAACCACATATCATGTTTATCATGTGGTTTATTATGTTTATAGAATAAAGTGATGAATTCACATTGAGGCATAATAAAAATAATGTAGTGATTTCGATTATATATTTATAAAATAGGGTAGATTGACTTCTAAAGAATGTGTACTCTTTGTCACAAATAGAAAAAAATACCACTGAAAAGAAATTAGGGTTGGTCTGGTAATGGAAACGCACCAGTTTGTTTTAAGGCCTTACTAACAAACTTTTTTTTACATGTTTCACAGTGGTCAAATTTAGTATAAAGTTAGGGGCCCAGGTTGTCAGATCCCAAGGTCAAAGTCAAAGATTTAAGGGGCCTTGGATTACAAATGAATGGGAAAAAAAATCTTTCAAAACTATTAACATGGCAACATATCAAAAGATATTTTTTAATTTTGTTTGTTAGAATAAAGGTTTTCATACATATTATTTACCATTTCTTATGAACAGCATTGATAAAACCTCAAGGGTTTTTTTCATTTCACCTAATTGTAAAACAGAGTCGGGTAAAAAGTAGTCATCATATTTTCTTTTCCAATTCCATTTTCTTTTTTTTGCAGTTAAGTCTCACTAACCAACTTAAAAAAATATAAGGGTAAAGGATTTGCCCAGGAACACCCCACCTGAGTCAATAATCCATGTAATCCTTGTACAGTGATGCCCACTACAGGTGTAAAACCAGGAAAATACACACTGCCACACACTTTAACTTCCTCATCACCATTGATCACTCACTAGGATATCTCTCCAGTTTCCTTACAAACAGGGAAGCTTATAATTTGTTAAAAAACACTTGCATATTGCTTCTACGTGGTTAGACTAACATCTAGTCTCTGAAATGAACATATCGTATATAAAAAAACAGTTGTTCAGTTATCATAATAAAAATATAATAAAAAGGAGCCCAGTGACTCTCTTCATTTTCAGATACTGCAGTGATCTAGACTTGCCAAACATTATAGACTTGCATGGGCTGTATTTGATATATATTTGTATCAGGGTCTGTAAGACAGACTACTACGTGGTATACAACCATTTATATGTTTTATGAGTTTGTTTGCCATATCTGTTTCATATCACGACTAATCAAAAGTATATTTGATTATTTCATATTTATGCCATTGTTGTAGACATATTTTTTTAGACTGGTAAATAGCTTGCTTTCAGACATTTTATATCATTTGCACTATATTGTAGTTCTAAATTTTAACAATTTGCAAATATGGTACTTGATTTATCGTAACTTCAATTTTTTTATGAGTTTAACAAAACCTTGGTGCATGCGTCCTGAACATGCCGAAGAACTATCAGATAAATTAATGTTGTAATTGTATCATAATTATTAAGTCTCAATGCAGTACATTACGAAATGACCGTTGTACAAAATGCTGCATGTTTATTGTTTCTTACAGTGTACAATATTTGAAAAAGCATGAATTAACATGTTTTTATGCTGTAGTATTTTATTCTTACAGGTTTCAGGGGTCAAGGTTTAAGATTAGCATTCTGTCAAGGATCCCATAACCATGGTAACTTTCATCCATATGTTTTAACATCATGAACATAGAAAAGCTAAAACAAACCAATGTCAAATATAACCTGAATCCTCACAGCGTTCCACATATCTGGTATGTATTGATGCAGGTTTTAAACATCTTAAGTACTTCATTGACAAATGGACATTTGAAAACAAATTCACATAATTGAATGATTAAACCCCACGAAAAGAAGACATATTTTATCAGGGGTCCAGGTTGTCAGATCCCAAGGTCAAAGTCAAAGATTTAAGGGGCCCGGATTACAAATGTATGGGGAAAAAAAGCTCTTAAAAATGTTAACATGGCAACAAGATAATTTTTTTGTTGTTGTTAGAATAAAGCTTTTTGTACATATTATTTACCATTACTTATGAACAGCATAGATAAAACCTCAATTTTTTTTTTCATTTCACCTAATTGTAAAACAGAGTCGGCTAAAAAATAGTCATTGTATCGTATCAACATGCTCATCATCAAATACTGCTACTGTACCGGCCCTCTGCTGTTCAAACAGCTGAGTCAATTTACACAAAGCCATGTTGACAATGGAAGACTTGTCTACCCTGAAAGGTGAGTCAGCAATAAATAACTGCCTACATCATCATTCTCAAACCCTAATTTCTAAATCTACTTTTGTGTGACTATTGGTACTGTTTATGTTGGAGACCATGTAGCTCACCTTCAAATCGATATCATATCATAATAAATATTATTAAAATACCCTAACATAACAAAGGTGGGTCATCATGGTCCTGAATGAGGTAAATATTTTCCATATTCATACAATATGCCAACATTTACAGATCATGCATACATCACCCTCTCTCATTACTTTAAGGGACAGTACGTCTACTGTTCTGAACCTTTGTTTGTAAATAATAGCCGATAACACCCGAGCTTAATTGGCTCCGCTCACCTTAATCCACAAGAGAACATTTCTCATCCAGCGACCACACCCGCGGGAATAGGCTTATCATGTGACCATATCATCAGCTTGTAAGGCTTCGATGACATCAAGTGGAGGATAAATAAAAATGGCAATATTTTTTCTCGTTTTAGGATACTTTCTCAATGAAAGTTAAACATTTCATGACATATGTGTATCTAAATGTATCGACTCGTCCTAAATGAAACATGAAAAACACATGAATAGTCTGTGTATGATGTGACACAGTTATTAGCCTGGACGCAAGGAACACGAGTGATCAGCTTCACACGACCGAGTCATATTCATGTTGTAATCTAGGCTTTGATGCACACTGGCTTAAATCTAATGTAATCAAGCTGGAAATCTGTATTTTGTAACTCATATGAGCTTTCTCTTCAATTTGCCTTTAATAGAAAACATGACCGAAGCCAGTTTACTCTGTGCAGCATATTCATTGTCAGCTTCGCTGTGCGAAGCTCTATTGTTTTGGTTTGAGAATTGAATCGGGCATGTAACATCACACTCGTAAATAATTTCATGCATGATTTAAAAATCACACAGCCCCGTTGATGTACTGTCCCTTTAAGCATAGGGCAACTGATAATGATACATTAGACCATTGCCTTACTCACTAACTGATCACCATAAACATGACTAACAGTGCAATTAGTGCCCTAGACATATAACTGAAGGCCAAGGGATTGCATATTGGACATGCTGGCTACTGTCTGATGCAACATATAGCACCATCATGATTTTATAGGACGAGTACGCATATTAGGACTTTGTAACATGCACACTATTCATAGACAAGATGAGTTAATTCCACCAAGTGTACGCAGGACGGGTCCCTGTTACGTGTACAAGGGACCACCTGAGAGGGGGTCACACGTAGGCATGACTGCCAGTCAGGGGACCATGGATGTCTGCATGTAGCACAAAAACGTCTCTACTGGTGTTAATTATGAAAATAATATATCAAAATTAAGCATAGTTATTGATCATTATACCAGTTATCGTATGACACACATGTGAATGTAATAATTGCCGATTATCTCTTAATCCTTTGAGCTTCCCCTTAGAAAAGTGCATTGATCATGACCACCGTCTTTTGTAAACCACAATTCCCGAAAGATTCGAACAATCTGCAGGTATGACATCATTTCTAGTGAGACATCATTCCGATCTTACGTCACAATAAGATTCAAAAGATGTCAACAATGATGTAAACAATACCCTGGGTGCGCTTGAAGTGATATTTGCCGTTATACGCAAAACATTTTTATTAACTTGGTTATTTCTAAACTAAGAGTAATAAATCTTGATATGGCTCTAAAGCTTCATCAACATCGTTATAATTGTGTTTATCAATTTATCTGACAGTGAGCTCCTGGCTAGCATGGTTAGACCTAAACATGTTATTGTTGATACTTACAGAGATTGCGCTTTTCTTTCCAACAACACACATCAGCTTGTAGACTGGGTCGATATAGAACAAGGCAGCAGCAACAACGACGAAGATTGCAAGACGTATCGCTCGTCGTGTCCATCGTTCCCTGTTCACGGATTTTATCGACTGAGTGAAGGGGTCGACAAATCTCTCAATCTGAGATGAGCTGTAGCCAGAGTTGACACAGAAGACGTGAAGCTTGCGAATTTCCTGATCTATATACTCTATTTTCTCTTGAAATGACATGTCATTGTCAGTCTTAATGACATCTTCTGTCACTTCTTTTGTAGAAGCAGGTTTTGATTCAACTGGGTTAGCGGTCGCACGTTTTCTCGCTGCCATCGTCTCGTCGTCTCAGCTGCTCGATATCAAAGAGGAAGTAACTCTGGACGTTGTTCGCTCTCCTTACACCACTCCCTTCGAACTGGATATTCTACTTCCGCTGTAAACTAGACAGCATGGACGGATATCAGCTCTTCCGAAAACTCGGTTTCGGAGCTAAATTTGATTTAAAGCGCTTTCACGGTGATGCAGAAAAGATAAGGGTAATTATTCCTTACCCCCAAATAATATATTTCTTTACCTGTGTTTCTCTGTTTAGACGTCATACACATCCGCACACTCAACCACACTGTCCAGAAGCCCCCGATGCTGGAGTGATATTTTGTTTAGACGGACCCATGATCTATTTGGTTCTCTTTGTGAATACCCTAAACATATCATATGTCACTCGTGCGGTTACTTATAGGCTACTATCCAACGCCTACGGGTTTCTTAAATCATAGATAAATCATTGTACAGTATACACATCTAGCATTTATTTCTTCATAACTGTCTTAGGCTTTTCTAATATCTGATTTGTAACCGACCTTCACAAGCTAGGGGATTAATGTCATGATATTCATAAGGAGCGTCATTAAATGCCATGAACATCAATTGTCAAATATTATTTTCTGACAGTAGTAAGTTGGTTTGTTGTTTAACGCCGCACTCAGCAATATTTCAGCTATATGGCAGCGGTCTGTAAATAATCGAGTCTGGACCAGACAATCCAGTGATTAATATCATGAGCATCGATCCACGCAATTGGGATCAATGACATGCATCAACCAAGTCAGCGAGCCTGACCACCCAATCCCGTTAGTCTTCTGACAGTAATTACTATTCTGTCAGTAATTACTATAAGGCTGATTAATATAATGTCATTGTTACTAAATTATTAAACATTGCTATGAATTGTCTTTATTGACAATTTTTTACTCCCTTGTCTTGCTTTTTACGTTCTAAGCTGCTGAACCATGTTGTCAACCTAATGTTGCATTTAACATGTGTCAATATTCAGATTGTGGGCACCAAATCTGACCCAGCACATGGATCAGGAAGAAAGTTTGCTCAAGAAGTTCACCAAAGAGATGATGAGGTGATCAGTGAAGAGGATGATAAACGTTCAGTCAAGAAAAGAAAACTACCCCAACATCATGAACATGCTCAACATGATGGTCCAACAGTAACAAAGAAACAGAAAGAAGAGGGTATCTATATAATTCTATATACATGGTTCTCTGATTATGGATATGATATATATTTAATGTTTTCAAATTTTACTTAAATCTACACCTTGTACACAGAAGTACTAGTATGTCAGTATGTGGTAAATGATGATTACCATGGTTACAGTGGGGATGAGGGGCTTGAACATGTGGCTGCGTTTTATGTTGGAAGGCAAGTTTGCATAATCTGGTGTTATCTTCATACTTGAGGCCAAATTCCCTTTTCAAACATGTTAAGCCATTGGTTCAGATAGCATGGACAGTCAGAATGCAGGAGCACGTAAGGTTGAAATGTGGCCGAGTGTGCCAGGAGCATGATGATAAACTTAAACGCAGCATACTCAGTCACAATGATCACCATGGTCACCATGCTTCAGTGAAAACTTATGTGCACCATATGACTTGGTTTGCTACGCTTAAAAACTCATCTCAAGTCAAATCATTCTGATAAGCATTGGGTCCCTTTACTTACTGATGGGGGCACTGTTCAAAGGTGGCGTTTAACCATACTCACTCATTCACTTTGTTTATTTTATTTATTACTTTTCTGTCACACAGAAGACTCAAGTAGTGATACTGGATCTTTAGACAGTGATGAGGACAGTGATGATAGTGAATCTGGCACAGAAGATGAAGAGATGAATGTTCAAGAAGCAGGATCTGATTCTGAGTCCAGTGACAACAAAACAGATTCTGAGGTGGATGATGACAAAATGAATTCTGGCTCGGAGAGTGACTCTGGTGATGAGCTACAGCTGCTGGGGAACATCCGATCATCGGGGAAGACGGTGAAGGAAGTGCAGCAGACCCAGAACTCGGAGAACAGACAGCAGAACAAGGCAGATGCAAAGCAGAAGAAGGTGAGTAGTGTAGTTGCTATTATATCATAGTGATATTGGTATACAATTATTCTCTTTGTAATTACCTGTTATTATAAGCATGATAAGGGTAACACTATTTTCAGAGCAATATTTCCAGAGTCCGCCATACAGAGGAGACTGTTATTATTGCTAAAATGGATAGAATTTGCTTAACGTTGAAACAGATGGTGCAATGATTGACAGTGCAATGATTGATACTGGTAACTGCAAGGGAGATCTGCATCTATCTAGATGTAGCAAGGGCAAGGATGGTTATACTTTGCAGTCATTTGAATTCACCCTCAATCTGCAATCTGACGCATGTTTCCTTATCCAAATCGCTGTTGTACTTCATCGACCCACACATCATCATTTGCCTGATGACTTGAGGGCAATTTTATGATAATACTATCAATTTATAGCGTCGATGTCTAGTTGGAGTGGTCACAATTAGCCCATGTTTTTCTCAAAGATGACCGCCTCCGTGGTCTAGTGGTAGAGCGTCCGCCTGGAGAACGGAAGGTCCGGGGTTCGATCCCTGGCCGCGTCATACCAAAAGATGTTTAAAGATGGAACTTATTGTTACCCTGTCTGGCGCTCGGCATTAAGGGCCTAAAACAAGGCCTGGTCAGCTTGGCGTCAGTAAACTGTGGCATGGTATCTCAGTGGGCTAGCACTATAAATCGGCATCAGTCCGGACTAGTACAAGCAGCCACACACACGTGCATGCACGTCGCTATATAAGTGCAATAGTCTTGGACGCGACATAAAACCTAATTTCACCTCTCAAAGATACATTTAACCATGTGGAATGTAATTATTTGTCTTAATGTTCTTGTGGTGTTTTCAGTTGAATACCTTGAGGAAGCGACACAAAATCCATGTGACAGGCACAGACATCCCACCTCCTTTTACCATGTTTGAAGAGCTGCGGACGCAGTACGGCCTCCACAAAACCCTCCTCTCCAACATTGTCAGCGTGGGATATAAGGAACCTACTGCAGTACAAATGCAGGCCATTCCGACCATGTTACAGGTACTGACCTGACCAGAGATGCTCCTTGTTGACCAGGGCGGTTGGGTAGTCTAGTGGTTAAAGCATTCGCTCGTCACGCTGAAGACCCGGGTTCAATTCCCGACATGGGTTCAATGTGTAAAGCCAAATTCTGGTGTCCCCCGCCGTGATATTGCTGGAATATTGCTAAAAGCGGCATAAAACCTCACTCACTCACTATGCTTGTCATAGGAGGAGACTATACCTATCAGGTGTTCAGACTCCGAGTTGTGGTTGGTTGTGTAGCAGTGTACGCTGATGCTGTGGGATGGTGCTCATGATATCAAATACTGGAATGTCTGGCCCAGATTTGATTATAACCCGGTTACAGCCTCTTGTCATACAGCTGGAATATTACTAAGTGTGGCTTTAAGTGAAAGACGAACTAACAGTCAAAGTTATAAAAATGAAATACTTGGGTGTTCTCAGTGAGCAGGGCCTGACCTGAAACTACTGACACTATCGACTCTTTTCCCCAGAGACGTGACATAATGGCCTGTGCCCCCACTGGCTCGGGGAAGACAGCAGCGTTTATCATCCCGATACTGCATCACCTGAAGGAGCCGCGCAACGCCGGCTTCAGGGCAGTCATACTAGCTCCGACCAGGGAACTGGCCAAACAGGTGAGACAAGAGTCTGTATGTGTACACCATGTACAACATGAACCCAATGGTGGATCAGCAGGGAGAAAGAGGGGCTGCAACAATCTCACTAAAATCAGGACTTGTCGTCTGATATGATACCTGTCTGCATGAAGATCTGAGGTCACCGCCATAGAAGGTCACCAATCAGCTTACTTCATCGTTTTGGCTTTCACTCCTTCTTTCCCCCCCCCAATTTGGAATTGGACCCAAGGAAACAAACACAGAACACAAATATTCCATCAGTGGTACCCCCCTGTGGTAGTGCTAGAATATTGCTAAAAGTGGCGTAAAACCATACTCACTCAAGCAGAGAGGTATTGTATCAGAGTAAATGGTCTGATAAGCGGACCCCTGCACTATGGGTTTTATGATCATGTAATTTGAGCAAGTAAATTTGGATGGTGGGCAGTTATGGGTTATTGAATTTTCTGAATGTTGCAAACCCTGGGCATCCACAGTTGGATATATTAACAATCACATCCATTTCTGCTGTCAGACTTACAGAGAGTTCCAGAGATTGTCTGAGGGTATAGGATTCAGGACGTACTATATTGAAAAGGCAGCAACGGCGATTAAGAAGTTTGGACCAAAATCAAAGAAGAAATTTGGTGAGTCATTCTACAAACATGACAGCTGTTTCTCAGCATACGTGGTATATAGAAACTAATGTTGCACATGGAAAGTCATTGCTTTTGTCCATAATTTTATTGCTTTTTATGGACAGTTATGTTTATTTCATATTTGGTTACAATCTGTCCTTTGAACATTGCAGACATCTTGGTGACGACTCCGAACAGGTTGGTGTACATCCTGCAGAAACACCCGGATGTCCTTGACCTTGGCAGGTGAGTCAGATGCAGGAGCACTCTCCTACCCAGAGTTCCATGCGGCCGGCAGCCAGCTAGCATAGTACCTCTGCCACAGGCCAGCGCCATGTGACGATTCGTCACATCTTTCACAGTCCATTCAAGATATTGCATATGCTTTTCATCCGTTTCATGTTTGACAAGTCTACACATTTTCATAAACAAATGTCAAAGAATGGTTAACTTCCATTGAGAAAGTATGCAAATACGTAAAAATCTACTTGTTTTTGCGTAGTTATCCTATGTTTACATTGGTTGTACGGCTCCACGTGCTGTCCTCCAAGCCCAACGGAGAGCTAGCGACACGGTCACTTTGATGCATAAATATATATTGTCATGCAACTCACTGTCGCAGTTGTAATAGCATATCTATATAGTTATGCAAAACAATATGTAAAGCTCCCCCAAATACTTGCATTAGTCCATTCTATACTGATTTCTGAAAAAGCGCGTTTGTTTACAAACAAGAGAAAAGTCTAGTCACGTGATATGCAAATTAGCCTGTGGCAGTGGTGTTATGCTGAGTCACCACTGCTACGGAGTGTAATGCAGGAGATCGCATACCTTCTCCTTGAAGCAATTATAACATTTCTGCATTTGGATATTTTATCCATGAGACTAGGATGTGCTAAACATAAGCAAAACTACCTATAACAACACTCATTTGCTGATATATTTCCAAAACTTTGCAGGACTACTGTTTGTCCTCTTGGAATTTATTACATACATTGTATACTGTCTGGAGAATTATATTCAGAAAATGATCTGTTAAAGAATCTATTGATATAGTATGTATTCTTATATACAATATACATTTTAATAGTTCATCAAGTCATGACAATCAGAGTGTCCATAGTTGAATAAATTACCAGTTACAACCAACACAAGTTGTATTGAAGTGCATGAGGTTTGAGATAACAAGCTGTCAGTATGTTGATTGTTGACAAGATGGTTCGTTCATTAAAGTACAAGGGGCGGTCGGGTAGCCTAGTGGTTAAAGCGTTCGCTCGTCACACCGAAGACCCGGGTTCCAATCCCGACATGGGTACAATGTGTGAAGCCCATTTCTGGTGTCCCCCACCGTGATATTGCTGGAATATTGCTAAAAGCGGCGTAAAACCAAACTCACTCACTCACTCATTAAAGTACAATGAAAGCTAATCACAACAGTCAGCGGGCTCAGAATGGTAAACAGGAGGTAATGGCAGGCAATGTTGGCTGTCACAAGTATTTAGACAGGAAGTTTTTCTTGGATTGGAAGCCATGTTCTGTTGAGGTGATGACAGTGAATTTTGTTTCAGTGTGGAGTGGCTGGTTGTAGATGAGTCCGACAAGTTGTTTGAGGAGGGAAAGAGAGGATTCAGAGACCAGGTATGAGAGGACTGTGGCAAAAGAAAACAGGACATTTCTTTACAATGACAATCACACTCATCATGCTCATCAATAATATAATTAATGTGCATCTAATGAGACATGGTCAATTAAAGAATAAAAATCATATCATAATCACATTTCTGACATATTTATAAAATTTAATTTCTAGAAATACTCTAGAAAAGGAGACTTGAACAAATGATAATAATTAACCTCATCTCCTTTGCTGTGAAAAAAGAATCAATAACAATAACAAAACTGTCTGACGGCAAACAACCGTTTCAGTTGGGTGTTATCTACAAGGCCTGTGACTCAACTCATGTGCGGCGAGCTATGTTTAGTGCAACGTTTGCTTGTGACGTGGAGGAGTGGTGCAAACTCAACCTGGACAATGTGGTGCAGGTGTACGTGGGCTTGAGGTGAGTCTGATGTCACTGCTACCTGGTGCAGGTGTATGTGGGCCTGAGGTGAGACTAATGTCACTGCTACCTGGTGCAGGTGTATGTGGGCCTGAGGTGAGATTAATGTCACTGCTACCTGGTGCAGGTGTACGTGGGCTTGAGGTGAGTCTGATGTCACTGCTACCTGGTGCAGGTGAACGTGGGCTTGAGGTGAGTCTAATGTCACTGCTACCTGGTGCAGGTGTACGTGGGCTTGAGGTGAGATTAATGTCACTGCTACCTGGTGCAGGTGTACATGGGCTTGAGGTGAGTCTGATGTCACTGCTACCTGGTGCAGGTGTATGTGGGCTTGAGGTGAGATTAATGTCACTGCTACCTGGTGCAGGTGTACGTGGGCTTGAGGTGAGTCTGATGTCACTGCTACCTGGTGCAGGTGTACGTGGGCTTGAGGTGAGATAAATGTCACTGCTACCTGGTGCAGGTGTACGTGGGCTTGAGGTGAGTCTGATGTCTCTGCTACCTGGTGCAGGTGTATGTGGGCTTGAGGTGAGATTAATGTCACTGCTACCTGGTGCAGGTGTACGTGGGCCTGAGGTGAGACTAATGTCACTGCTACCTGGTGCAGGTGTACGTGGGCTTGAGGTGAGACTAATGTCACTGCTACCTGGTGCAGGTGTACGTGGGCTTGAGGTGAGACTAATGTCACTGCTACCTGGTGCAGGTGTACGTGGGATTCAGGTAAAACTAATGTCACTGCTACCTGGTGCAGGTGTACGTGTACGTGGGATTCAGGTGAGACTAATGTCACTGCTACTACAGTTAGGTTGTAACACTTATGAGCAATCTACAGCTAAATGTGCGTATCTCTCGCTTTAAGAAAGTGACACATTTTACCTGGATATACTTGAGTTAATTGCCACATCCAGCTCACTACAAATAACCATGACACATAACAAAGCCCCCAATGAACAATGAGTGTGTGCGTTGTCCAGGAACTCAGCCACGGAGACAGTCCAGCAGGAGTTGGTGTTTGTGGGGACCGAGTCGGGAAAACTGCTGGCCGTCCGCAACCTGGTCAAGAAGGTACAGACTTGACATTATTGATATTATCATCAGGAGCGTATGTTTCCTCAACAAACTTTATAAAAACTATAACAGCATTCATTAATTTATTCATATTAAATTAGTCATTAAATGATTAAATATTATGATATAATTAGGAATGGTTCTTGGTATATGTACTACTCCAAAGAAGTTAAAGAAGATTTGATTTTGTTCATATGGCTGTAGTTATTCTGTCATGCCATTAGCTATACCCATATGAAAGAATTGGATGTTCTTTAACTTCTTTTGACCAGTATATTTGTCATGCATGAAAACGATGACCACAATTTGTTTTTGTTTTTTGTTGTTGTTTTTTGTCATTTCTCTTCAAGGGAATTTGTATTGGAATACCCATTTCACGTTTACTCTAAGAGTCCCACAGAATTACTGCTCTACAGTCATGTCCTAACGACCCCTGAAGATCCGGGGTAGAATAGGTCTTCAGCAACCCATGCTTGCCATAAAAGGCGACTATGCTTGTCGTAAGAGCGACTAACGGGATCGGGTGGTCAGGCTCGCTGACTTGGTTGATGCATGTCATCGATCCCAGTTGCGTGGATCGATGTTCATGATGTCAATCACTGATGTCTGGTCCAGACTGGATTATTTACAGACCGCAGTCATATAGCTGGAATATTGCTGAGTGCGGCGTTAAACAACAAACCAACCAACCAAATCATGTCCTAACATCCTCCTGTGACACACATCACACTGGGGATGCTGGGGTGGCCTTGTTATTAAAGTGTTCACTCGTCACACCAAAGGCCTGGGTTCAATTCCCCACATGGGTACAAGGTGTGAGCCAATTTCTGGTGTCTCCTCATGTTGTATTGCTGAAATATTGCTAAAAGCAGCATAAAACCCAACTCACTCTCTCACTCGCACAACCTTGTTATCCACAGGGCATTGAGCCTCCAGTGTTGATCTTTGTCCAGTCGAAGGATCGAGCCAAGGAACTGTTTCATGAACTCATCTATGATGGTGTCAATGTTGATGTCATTCACGCAGACAGAACCCAGTTAGAGGTGAGATCAGGTGCACATGTGAAAAAATATATACTACACTATTGCTATGCTGTTCATAGTAATAATGGAAAACAGGTTGTTTGGTGAGCATGGGAAATTATCAATGAAATTATACAAAAATAATAAGAAAATGAAAACTAACAAATCCGTGAAATAAAAATGGACCTCTGAAATGGTTGTTTCAAATTTGAATGTCTGGAGAAAATATCATTAGAAAATTAATGTACCGATACTTTAACCCTGAAGGTGAATGTTTGAAATAATAAAGTACGTACCAGTATTTTCAGCCATCATGTCTTATATGTAATCCATTCATTTAAGTTATTTTCTTTAAACTTAAGTGTTATTTGTTTTGAATTTTCAGCGTGACAATGTTGTGAAGTGTTTCCGGCTGGGCAAAATCTGGGTGTTGATCTGCACGGAGCTGATGGGTCGCGGTATCGACTTCAAGGGAGTCAATCTCGTCATCAACTACGACTTCCCCTACAGCGCCATCAGCTACATACACAGGATAGGTGAGCAGCCCTGATTGTCCCTAGGTCTCAACTTTGCTACTTGGACAATATTTTATGGGTGCTTCACACACCACCTCCTGACAAATGGCAGAGTTACGTACAGTGATACAAACAGGTCATTTACAGGCTTCTTTTGTTCGTCCGAAAAATAAACCTTGATCATGTTTATGTCACAGGTCGAACAGGGCGCGCAGGTCGACCTGGTAGAGCCATTACCTACTTCACACAGGATGACTCAGTATATCTCAGAAGGTGAGTTTCAACATGGCCTGTGGGGATTTCCAGGTCAGAATAGGCGCCCAGTACATGGCCCTTGTCAGAGGAGACAACTAAAATGGGGATCAGTTGTCAGTTCCTATGACCTGGCTGATTGTATGTCAACGTACCTGGCTGCTGGCATGGATTGTTGTTCATGCTTTCAGTCATTGGTTTGTCTGGCCCACACTTTATTAGGCTAAAAACATCTTGGTTCTCAGGCACCACCTGCATCATCATAAAGTCTGCTGCTTGTTTTGCTTTTATTTCCATTTTCAAAAAAATATAAAAATCCTAATACTGAAACATAATGCACAAAAAAATAATGAAAATGGAAACAAAATCACAATGTGCAATGAACTTTATGAGACAGTACCTGAGGACCAAGACAATTATTTTTTTTAGCCTTAGTTTACATTCCATTGTGATATACCTGGAACATTCAGCCACTAACCCAAATATTGGTTACCTATGCTGGTGGTAAGAGGTGATGAAATGGAGTGGTCAGAAACTGGTCATGGCTGCTTGTGATTGCTGCTTACACTATCGATCACTGGATCCAGGAATTTTTGGTTATTTACTACAGACCACCGTCATACAGCTGGAATATTGATGTGTGTGGCGTTAAACAACAAACAAACAAACAAACAAACCAAAGCTTTGTTGCTTATCCACTCATTTAAGATACAACGTAAGTTGACATTAGTTAATGATTCAACCAAATTTAATCAGATAAAGGGGGCGGTCGGGTAGCCTAGTGGTTAAAGCGTTCACTCGTGACACCGAAAACCCGGGTTCGATTCCCGACATGGGTACAATGTGTGAAGCCCATTTTCTGGTGTTACCCGCTGTGATATTGCTGGAATATTGCTAAAAGCGGGGTAAAACCAAACTCACTCACTCACTCACTCACTCATCAGATAAAGCTTCCTCTTTCTAAGTGCTGCAGCTGTTCAGTTGATCAGTGTTTACATGCATTCAGATCAACTTGTAATTGTATAAATGTAACACTGATAAAAACTAGGATATGTGCCTGTTGATAAAAATGCAATCTTGTGGAAGGAAACAGGTTTGGGAAATAGGTTCGGTGGATTTCTCAGGTGATGTATTGACTGTGTACTTATTATTTTTAACTTTGACTAGGTAACGTTCTTTGGCCACTTCTTGTAGCTGTTCATGTGTTCTTCTTCAGCATTGCTAATGTGATGAAGCAGGCTGGGTGCCCAGTGCCAGACTACATGCTACAGTTGGCCAGACCCAGCAAGTAAGTCATGTCAGTCATGTCTGGCTTTGTCAGCTTTCATTTACTTGGAGGCAAAAGTAAGAATCAGAGGAGTGTTACGTAAATGAATGGCTGTTTTATGTGTTTTAAAGTGTTGTTTGTAATTGCCATAGGTTTAAATGATGCAGTAATTTTGCACACAGCCTAAAAGTCAAGTTATTGTGTCCATTTTATAATAACCCAAATTTGACTCAAGTGAATTCTCATGGTGCTACGGTATTATCACCCCGGTCAATGGATCAGTGTGCATTTTCATTCTCAGCTCCCTGGGGAGTATCCATGCATGCTTTGTGCATCTCTCAATCTCTCCTCTTTCTTTCAGGAAGCGTAGAAAGAAACTTGCTCACACGGCGCCCAAGAGAAAACCTGTGTCAACAGACTCCCAATATGACCTTGAACAACGACAGAAACAGAAGTAAAACACGTCTATCTTTGAATTTGTAGTAAACATCCAACATGCTATTTTTATTAACCTGCCTAATGTATATCTGTGCTTGCCTGAATGTCTTTGCTAATATATGTGATGTATTTGATTACGTCCCTGTTCTTAATATGGGTATATGCCTATATATATAATCAGGTTTGGAACTCTACAAGATAAGTAATGTCTCCAGACTGTGTGCATTTCCAAGTTTGGTATTTATCAGCTCATCTAACAGGTGTCAGGAAAGATCCCAATCTCATTAAAATCAGACCTTAGTTCTCGCTACCGCTATCCCATTAGGGGTCATGTCAGAACGACCTTTCATCCGACCAATCAGAGCTTCACTTACCAGATCATGAAAGGGACAGTCGGACAGTGATTTCTAATCATAAAACCTCAAAAACTTTAACACAGGGTATTCCGAACGATAGTTACAGGTTAAACGACTGAATCCATACAATCTAGACCATCTCTTAGCCATTCCGGGATGTTTTTTTGTTCAGGTTTCAAATTTGTAATCGAGAATTTGTCAAAATATGTTGCGAAGCATAGTCGCCAATTTGAAATTAGTGCCGTAAAGCACGAGAAAGCTGCCTTCTGATTGGTCATTCCGTTCGTCAGTCAAAGTTCGTGCAAGGTCGGTGTGACGTGACCCGTAATGGGATGTCCTCAGATCTTTGTTTAGCGGTAGCTAGAACTAAGATCTGATTTTAATGAGATTGGAAAGATCCAAGACTTGATAGATTTGGCTATGGTCCACCTATTTATGACAGAGTTACCTCCCTTGGCACCTCATCCCAACGAAGCCCCTCAAATGTACGATAGAAGCCTTCCTTAATCAGTGAAGGTTATTCCATAACATTTCTGACACACATTGCATTTAATCTGTATGATATGTTGCATAAATGGTGTAATTATATCAAAATTGGACTGTACAAGGCATTTGCTCTCAGCAAACAAATGTGGCTTAGTTCAGCTTGAGTCACAGGCACCACGTTTTACCCGTCCTAATTTTCAAGAACGCTTGTATTTGTTTTTCGCCGTTCCTTCTCCAAGACCTTTGCCTAAACACATATGTCATCCAGTATAATCAAGAAAACCTATGGCCTTGAACCTCTTTTACTATTTCTCTTTTTCCTTTCAGGGAAGAAAACATGAAGTCTGTGTATAAGAAAAAGCCCAGGCCAAATAAGGAGAGCTCAACTCCCGGTGGGGAAAAGACAGGTCCTGTTACAAAATCACAACCAAATAAGAAAAGTAAGAAGAAAAATTTCTTAAAGGGGGATGCTGAGCAAGCCTCTGGTACAAGTCAGGAGGTGTCTGAAGTGGGACAGAACAAGGAAGGTGATCACACCTCCGGGAAGATCAGTTCAAGCAAGTCTGTGAAACATAAAGGAGAGAAAAACAGAAATAATAAGAAAATGAAAAAGAAAACTAACACATCAGTGAAATAAAAATGGACCTCGACATGGTTGAATGTATGAATGAAATGAATGTTTCAAATATGAATGTCTGGAGAAAATATCGTTAGAAAATAAATGTACAAATACTTTAAACCTGATAAATATGTGTGTTGTCTTTGTATGTAAGATTTCCAACAATAGTTATCCTTAATAATTATGCTAATAATGAACGAATGTCCTTTAAGATATGAATATTTAGGAATCATTTGACACCACTAGAACAATAACACAAGTTATGGCATAAAGAAATACAGTCTTTGATAGGCATTTTGAAGTTGGAAGAACATGAATACATGGCACTTTTTTTTAATAAAATGGTGTTTCAGGGCTACTTCTTGTCCCTTCATCAGGTCAGCGGGTGATGATGGGGCAAGATGTAGCCCTGAAACATTGTTACAAAGAATAAAGATGCTGTTATCCTTTCAAAGATGTCATGTATTCAAGAACATCAACTATCGACTGGTAACTGTACTGTATGTGAGTAGTGAGTTGGGTTTTAAGCTGCTTTGCACAGTATTCCAGTGATGGCATAAATTGTCCGCTTAATGTGGGAGGAAAGCCCGAACTGATGCAGGTATCTGCCTTTACCACTTTGGTGAAACCCATGAACATGGGTATGGTGCAGAGAAACATAATCAGGCAGATTTACATTATATGTGTTTAATAAAGTTTTGTGTGACTAAATGGAATGTGCCTTAACCATCTACAAACTATGTTGCTTCAGGGGACGAAAATGCAAAAATGATTTATGAACGAGTGGGAATCTGCGCCAATAGTGTGAAAATGTAAGGCTCGGTTTTTTTTGTATTAAGCAGCGGAATGAATGATGGTTCCATAACTACTTTGTAAATAATCGAGGGGGGCACGGGTGGACCAGTCGTCTAAGGCACCGCTATTCGCTGTGCAGAGTTGCGTCCCCTAGGCACGCCAGAAACCTATGATTGTGGGGGCGAATGTGTGGGTTCGAATCACGGTTCGCCCCGATTATGTTTCTAGGTTTGTCAGCACCATACCCGTGCTCGTGGGTTTCACGGAAGTGGTAAACGTCTGAGACCTGCATCACTTCGGGCTTTCCTCCCACATTAAGCTGACACGCCGCGATATAAATGGAATACTGTTAAAAGCGGCGTTAAACCCAACTCACTCACTCACTCGTTATAAATAATCGAGGTCAATATCTGGAGGCCGATGTCAATCCTGGTATTTGGTGCAGTATGTATGGCATCTAATGAGGGAACAATTACTGGAATATACTTTCGAAAAGGGCATTCAACCAATCAAAATTTGCACTCCTATGACAGCAAACTGACTTCAAACAAACAGAACCGCAGCTTTCCCCACGCCCTTCACCTCTGTTCCAAGTTGGGTAATGGAGCTATAACGGCTGTATCTAACCTAAACCACATGGGGTGACCACAGTAGCTGCTGAGTATAGAGTGGAAGTGCTGAGATGGGTGACAGGTGACTCAAGCCTCACATACAACTGGACTGATTGGGGGTCATGGCAGCATCAAGAAGGCAGGTTGATGTAGTCATGTTATTAAATACATTGTTATATCCTGGCCTCCTACAACATTTTCTATTTGGATATAGTTCCATTATTAGGGACGGTTTAGCTTACTTAAAACCTGTACATGCAGGCCCGTTTGTTAGTTTATCATATGAGCTATTCTCAAGGCCCCATTAAACAAAACCCTAGTTAATGTTACTTATATTTCCTTACAACCGTATCCTATATTTCTATTGTTAATTCTAATCAGATACTAGCAGTACATTCACTGTCATTAACACATGTTTACGTTACAAGCTTCGTTTACGAACTAATGGATACCGTTTTCATCAGGGGAAAAGTGTTCACCGCCAAAACAAATAATTGGAAGTTTTAGAAATGAAATATTGTTAAAGTTTAAGGTTTCGCTCAATAAGTGGTTTGCCATACAACCTGTCATGAATTGGCTCGTTTTATCTATACACATGCCCCTGAAATTGGGCGCAGATGAAAAATTAGCGTACTTGCGAATTTCATAATTGATACTGAACAGGTTTTGCTGCCCCGTCCTTTGGTGACATTGTTGACTGTAACTCCCACACTCATGTGTTAGAGTGAGTGAGTGAGTTAATGCTTTACGTCACATCGGCAATATTCCAGCCATATCGTGACTCATGTGTTAGAAGGTATACATTTCTTGGTATAATGCGAAGTAACTCTGTACATTAAACAAATGATATATGAAATTCCTTCCTACGTGTCTTTTTAATACATGCTGTGCAATTGATTTTGGTTAGAGCAGATACCCGTTAAATGATGACGGTTGTTGATAACATTAACCTTTCTCACCTGAGGTTGCAACGTGAAATGCGTCGACCAGTAGGGATCAGGTTTTTAAGTGTGCGAGCTGTTAATATTGTCATGGCTTCCCAGTTCGATTAGTTTCAGGCAGTCGTGATGAAGCTGGACTGTTCGGCATGAAAAACAACATTCACATCGCCCAATAATCCCACACAGACCACTCTGGATACGTCCAGCTCCAGGTGACCTGAAAACACCGCTCGATATGTCCAAAGGGCCTTACATACCTGAAGAGTAAAGTTGACAGCCATTTGGATAAGATTTGGTTTCCTGCTTTTTCCTATATGTACATGGGCTAAATGGACCAGACAAACCAGTGATGATAATATTAGCAATCGGGTACAAGTACACGCAGTCAACCAAATCACCGAGCCCGACCATCCGATCCATAAAACCTCCCCTTATGACCAGCAATTGAGTGATGAGGGACCTAATTCAACCCGGGTCTATATCGGGAATCGGATGCATACGTTTGTTTATTTGTTTGTTTGTTGCTTAACGTCGCACTCAGCAATAGTCAAGCTATATGACGGCTGTCTATAAATAATCGAACCTGGACCAGACGATCCAGTGATTGTCATCATGACCATCGATCTACGCAGTTGAGGTACGATGACGTGCATCAACCAAGTCAGCGAGCCTGACCACCTTATCTAGTAAGTCACCTCTTACGACAAGCATCGGTTGCTGAAGACCAATTCTAACCCTGATCTTCAAGGGTAAGGTACACAGGTAGGTTGGGGTATAAAGTCGACATTGGTAATTGCATAATTACCCAAAGATATAATGTCTAGGTTCCACGGCCCTTTCTTAATTTGAAATACTGTCTGCAACCTGGCATAATAATCCGAATATGTTGGCCTCAAATCTGACTACCAAACCTTGCAAGGTGTTCAAGAGATACCTTTACACTAATCCTGATCTAAACAACTAATTGACACAAGACGCCGTTCAAGAATACAATTCATCTGATAGTGTGGGTGTTGTGGGTAGATTACGGACTAGCTACAACAGTTTGTCCCAGCTAGGCAACCCTGATATGCTTTTGGATCAGCTGGCGATTATCTGCGCTGCACTGTTGACCCTCCTGTAAAAGCGGGATGATTGATACAGGATATCCTACACACTATGGACCATACACTATCGCCTCTATTATTGTAACGTGCGTCCCACTTTAGGTTCCTAGGACCTCTTAATGTAAAACGGTCGGTGGAGTAGTCGAGTGGTGAATCCGTTTGCTTGTCAAATTGACCCGGGTTCGATTCATCTCAGGGTAGAATTATGAAACATATTTCTGGTGTCCCCGCCGTGATATTGCTGGAATATTGCTAAAAGCGGCTTAAAGCATACTCGCTCACTGGTAAGGAGGTACCATGCGGCTTCCACACTTCAGCTTCTACAGAATGGAGTCCTCAAGGACTCGAACAGTGAGATCGCAACTGGTTTTAAGTGTTTCTCTTGAGACCGTATAGGACGTATGAAGTACGTATCTATGGTACGTACCTTAATTGATAACTCCGCTATTTCAGTGTTATGAAATTGTGTCAAAGGGGACTAGAATCGGGTCAACTGCAGCACTAACAAAATTGAATTAAACCCCTCAAACCCCACGTTGTCTGCAAACTTAAATGTAATGATGTGCATCAATGTAGCATTTAATGGTTACCCTAATTACACTGAGATTTCGCCAATGGCGCCAATTTCAACAACACTGGACATGAGAACCTAGTCTCTCTTTCAACTGTGAGTAAAACACAAAGCTACCCATAGATCGTGGACATCTCCCGCATCCTGTTCGTTTGTAATCAGCAATATTCCAGCTATATGACGGAGGTCTCTATATAATCGAGTCTGGACCAGACAATTCAGTGATTGACATCATAAGCATCGATCTACGCAAATTGGATACGATGACATGAACCATGAACCAAATCAGAGAGTCTGACCACCTGATCCCGTATATAATTGTCACCCCTTACAAAAAGCATAGGTTGTTGAAGACCAATTCTAACCCGGATCTTCACGTTGGTTGGTTGGTTGGCTTGTTGTTTAACGCCGCACTCAGCAATATTCCAGCTATATGACGGCTGTCTGTAAATAATCGAGTCTGGACCAGACAATCCAGTGATTAATATCACGAGCATCGATCCACGCAATTGGGACCGATGACATGTATCAACCAAGTCAGCGAGCCTGACCACCCGATCCCGTTAGTCGCCTTTTACGACAAGCACGGGTTGCTGAAGACCTATTCTACCCCGGAATCTTCACGGGTCCGGATCTTCACGGATCTGCATCTTGTGTAATAGACATTGTTGCTGAGAATGCAATGTTTTAATCGGAGGCTCCGAGCTCGTGTTGGAATATTATCGGCCCAAACAGCTAGGGGACATTACTCTGTGAATTGCTGCGTTTGACTGAACCCACAAGGCTGATGTCTAACTGACACTACTGCAATAGTTCTGAAAACATAGTAACACCTGGTCGACCTACATCAAAATCTAACTGTTCACCTAACCAAGTTGAAGGAATGTTGCAATCAAATGCCATTTATTTAAGATAGATATCCAAACAGCCAGAACACACCTTGCTATTCACCAATTCAATCCCCACAATCACCAACCAATGTGGATACAATTGGACAAATAAAAGTAAGATTTTCACACTCAGCAGTTTTGTGGGGATTTGATCTAGCTCACCAAGACATCGCGTTGTCGGCATTTCGCCATCAAATGCCAAGTCCTCTTGATTGATAAAGCAAACA